GAAGGGAAGGGAAAGGGAAAGGAAAGGAAAGGAGAGAAAGGAGAGAGAAGGGTATGGGAGGGAAGGGAAAGGAGGGAGAGAGGAAGGGAGGAAGCAAAGTAAAGGAGGGAGAGAGAAAGAAGAAAAGGAAAGAAATGGAAGATGAACGCGGAAGAATATATACTTTTCGAGTCAAGTAGAGTAAGGGGGGTCGAGCTGAAGAGGTCGTTAAATTAGGTCGGACCGTGGCCGTTCTTGTTCTGCCAGGCGCCTTTCTACCACGTTGCACTCCAGGCGGCTTGCGAAACAAATGTGCTAGTGCTGCTGCTGTGTCGTTTCAATTATTTTATTTTCATTATTTTATTTAATTCATTCATTCTTTATTCTATTTAATTCATTCATTCATTCGTTAATTTTTTACGCCGCCTTTCTCCCAGAAGGGAACCCAAGGAGACTCACAGGATAAAAATACCTTTCTAAAAACTTTACAACAAAAAATGTAAAAACTATTAAAATAATCCCGTATAAACAGTATAAAATTAAGTTTAAAAAAAAAACATACAAAAGTTAAAAACATAGCTCAGGGCGACCCTATGGTGGGAGGGGTTTTCGTAACAGGATTTGTTCAGAGGGGTTTTTGCCTTTACCTTCCCCTAAGGCTGAGAGAGTGTGACTTGCCCAAGACCATCCAGTGGGTTTCATGGCCGAGCTGGGATTCGAACCCTGGTCCCCATAGTCATGGTCCCGATCCTGATCCCTGGAACAGATCCCGAGTGACTGAGGAGTTTGGAAGAGCAGCCGTGGGGGAAAAGAGACCCTGGTGGGATACACAAACACACACACACACACACACACACACACACATTGTATGTATCGGAAACGATCTGAAGGCACTCGGCAATTGCAGCAAAACGAACAGATCCCATACTTGGCAGCCGAATCTGTAGTGAATCCGACAGAAAGGAGAGCCAGCCCTCCCTCAGTCTATGGAGACCCTCAGCCATGCAAATGGAGAAAGAAGGGAGAGGCAAAAATCTCAAGAAACCAAAGGACCAAACTGCACTTTGGACTTTATTTCAAGATATTATAAGATGATAGAAGCAGCAGGAATCCCAGCTGGGGAGATCTCCCCAAAGATCCGAAGAGTGAGGGAAGAGTAGGGCAGATACTAAGGTCTCTTGTCCAAAGCCAGGACTCAAGGCAGGTTACAAAGAGATCAGATCTACCAAATATAGAAGAAAATATACAAAAAAGCACAATTAAACATAATTTAAAAACCATTTTTTTTAATGCTTAAAAGATAGTTAATAAAAATATTGCAGTTTAAGAAGTTCTTTTAAAATAGTTCAGTTGAAAGCAACTGGGCACCCCATTTGAAGCCTTTTTATTTAAAAAAATAATTAGTTCTGGAAGGAATGCCAGAACTGGTGGTGGTGAATTATTATTACTGTTGTTGTTATTGTTGTTGTTGTTGTTGTTGTCGTTGTCATCAGAAGGACAACAAGGAGGGGAAGGAAGCTAACCTCTTAGGAATTGCCTCTCCTGAGGATTTTAGGACCAGGCAGATTCACAGGGGAGAACTGTTTTTGTTGTAGTTGTAGTAGTAGTGCCTTTCAATTGTTTCCGACTTATGGGGGCTTGCAGACTGCCAGAAATAGTGCAAATTGAGTCCACTTTAAGGGTTAGGGTTAGGGTTAGGGTTAGGGAATCATGGGAACTGTAGTTTATTGTGGCACCAGAGCTCTCTGACAGAGAAGGCTCAATGTCTCAGGAAAAAAAACAATTCCCATGATTCCCTAGCACTAACCCTAACCCTAAAAATGGACTCAATTTGCACTATTTCTGGCAGTCCGCAACCCCCTATGGTGAGGCTAAGGCAAACCATCACAAGATTTGCACAGAGGAGGTTTTCCTTTGCCTTCCTCTGAGGCTGAGAGGGTGTGACTTTCCAAGGTCACCCAGTGAGTTTTTGGGGCCTAGCGGGGATTTGAACCCTCCTCTCTCCAAGTCAGAGAGCCAGCGTGGAGTAGTGGTTTGAGCCTTGGACTATGACTCTGGAGACCAGGGTTCGAATCCCTGCTCAGCCATGGGACAGACACCATTGAGTGACCTTGGGCAGATCACACTCTCTCAGCCTCAAAGGCAGGCAAAGGAATATCCCCGCTGAATAAATCTTGCCAAGAAAACCCCGTGATAGGGTCGCCTTAGGGTCGCCATATGTCGGAAACTACTTGAAGGCAAGCCAACTCACCAAGTCCCTATGCTGGCTCTGAAGGGAATAAGATGGTTTTCTCAACAACCTGAAACTAAGCTGTATAGGGCTTTAGAGGTCATAACCCTACTTTGAATTGCATCTTAAGGAAAAGAAATACTGCTGCGCTAGTATTTTCAGATCAAAACCATTTCCCTCCATGCATCTGATGAAGCAAACATAATTAGTCTGTTAGCTTATGCTACAAGCTGCTTTCTCTGAATTTGCATTTTGAGATCAGTAGCCAATTAGCCCTTGCTTTCAAGAGATTAGGGTTTTACTGGGAAAATTAAACATGTAAAGAGGAGACGTCACCTTTTCTGTAAACTGTTTCTAGGATAATGAAACAAAATGCTTGGGCAAAGGCTGCAACTGGATCCCAAACTTAGCTAAGCCCTGTTTGAAACTGTGGTCTCCTATTTGCTTAGACAGGAGGAGGTAGGACTAGTTCAAAGCACCCTGGCTTGGTCGTTTAGGCCAGCCAAGGAGAAACCTACCTGTTGGTTTGAGGAAAGGTGATCATAAAATTGTAGAGCTGGAAGGGACTGAAAGGGCCCAACTGGACCCACAAAGAATCTACCTCTGAGAAGTGACCATCCAACCTCTGCTGAAAAATCTCCAAGTCTTTTCCACTTTGGAACAGCTCTTACCACCAAGAAGTTCACCCCCCTGTTTAGACTGAGGATCTCCTTTCTCGTAATTTGAATCCACTGGAAATCTCAAGGCATTAATATTTTCTACTACGCTATTTGATCCTACACACACATACAACCGGATTTTGGGGAGGGGGAGCATGTTCCTTTGCCCTCGGTTTGGGATTGACTTTCCTGTTGGAATAGTTTTGTCAGCCCCCCAGAAAACAGGAAGATATTCCTTGGACTGGGAAGGCTCCTCATATCCAGTTTAAGGGAAACCTTTGGAGAGAAAGGAGTGGAGGAAGCTTAGGATAAGAGGTTGAACCAGAGTTTTGTTCAACTGCCATTCATCTTTCTGTGCTGCGCAAGTTAAAGTTTGGGTAAAGTCTGGCAAAAGTTTTCAATTTATATCTAATAGGGAAGGTATAACTTTGTAGGGCGACCAGACGTCCTCCTTTTTCCTTCCATAAGAGTGACTTTCCCTGAGTTCAAAATGGCTAAGCTTTGATTGCACCTTAAGAGGGCAATTTTACCTAAGGTGGGATCCAGACTTAGCCCTGCTAAAGCTGCTGAAGTCAATGGAATAAATCCAGAGTAAGGGAAGTCCCACTGATTTCAGCACAGGGCAACCAGACATCCTCCTTTTCCAGGACAGGCCTTGTAAGAATTATGGTTTCGGTTATTTGTGGTTAAATCAGTTTAGCAGCAGCACACAGTACTCCACAAGTATTTGGTAAAAACAACTAGATCTGAGCTTCTGGTAAATAAACAGGATACATTGGTAGGTAAAAAGAAACTTTCTTTATTGTTACATCTAGGTTCTACAAAAAATAACTACTCAGTAGAGAAAACTATACTTTGGTACAGAGGTCCCTAGATAGCTGACCTCCATCTGGGCAAGTAAGAAGAAAAACATCTTTAGGAGCAAAGCCTGGTTTCTGCACCCATGCTTGGTTAGAGCAGAGGCAAGTGTGCTACCAAACAAAGAATCATAAAACTTTATTACCCCCAAGAAGAAACCCCCAGGAAGAGGAGGGGTATGGGAAGTGACCTCTTCACAGACACACTGACCAAATGACCATAGAGATATACATCAGTGTTTCTTTATAGAAGACACTGCCCCTGCTCAAGGAAAGAAACATAAGCTATATACAAGCATTGATGCTAATATTCCAACACCCCTTCTCATCAATGCTTGTCTTCAAGTGTCAAGATTCATCTTATTTCTCAGGAACTGAAACTAAACACAGGCTGGATGGCCATCTGTTGAGGATGGTTTGATTTTGAGTTCCTGCATGGCAGGGGATTGGACTGGATGGCCCCTGTGGTATCTTCCAATTCTATGATTCTATGATCTCTAGGTAGAGGCTTAGTAAGAAGATCTGCAGGCATTTCCTTTGATGTACAGTATTTAATCTCAATAAAATTTTCTTTCTGTAGACCTCTCAACACATCACATCTCATATCAAAATGCTTGGTAAGTGAATTAATCCCTTCATTCTTCAAAAGTTTAATCCAACTTTGATTATCTTCATAAACATCTATAGGCAATGATTCATTCACTCCAAATTCTTCCAGTAATTTGATGTAATCATAGAATTTTTTGACTTGCTTGAGCTGCTGAAATGTATTCTGTTCCCTCAATGAGAGTGCTATATCATCTTGCTTTTTGCTTGTCCAGCTCACCAATCCATTGCCACAGAAGAATAAATATCCACTGGTAGACTTTCTATCCAAAGGATCTCCAGCCCAGTCTGCATCTGAATATGCTGTTAGTCTGGGACTGTTGGTGGCTTTTAATTTTAATTTTAAATTCTTTGTACCTTTCAAATATCTGAACACTCTTTTCATGGTATTCCAGTCCATCTTTCTAGGTGAACTAGTCTTTTCAGAAAGAATTCTAACTGCTGATCCAATGTCTGGTCTTGTAGTTGCAGCTAGGTACAAACGTTTTCCTATACCACTTTTGAATTTGTTGTTGTTTGGTAAAAATTCACTGTTTCCATTCACTTTGTAATAATTTGTTTCCATAGGTGTAGCCACTGGGTAGGCCTCTTTGAGTCTTAAGAATTCTATAAGTTCATGAATCTTTTGTTCTTGACTAAGAAGGTAACCTCCATTTTCTTCTCTTTTTATTTTTATTGCTTGATAACAAGTGATCTGTCCTTGTCTTTTGATATCAGTCTCTTTGCTCAAATGAGTTGTGATTTCTTCACAATCAGCTTTGTCTTGGTAAGCTAAGGTCAAATCATCAATAGAAATTAGAATGTAAGTCCATTTGTCATTTTTGCATCTTGTGTATAGATGAAGATCAGCTTTGCTTTGTTTAAAGCCTTCTTTGATTAACACCTCATGTAGTTTCTCATTTGGGGCTCTTGTAGCTTGTAAGTGCTCAGCATCCATTTCCTTGATGTTGCCACACTTAGAAGTGTCCTTATTGTGATATGTTCCTTGCAAAGGTTCTCCATGTCCTCTTGTGTAAAACATTAATTTAGTACTTTTTTTGAGATGAGTATCTGATCTGTGGTTCTGGAACCCTATCTGCTTCCCTAGCAATGTACAGTTCCAAACCTGGTTCTGTTTGCTCATTCTCCCCTTCTGTTTGTGTACAAACTGTTGTTTTACATGTCACATCTGTTTTCCCACTTTTATTTCTTTAAATGCTCTGGCAAATAGTTTTACATCATGAATTATTGTGCATAAATTGCCACTGAAATGTACATCATACCCTCTGTCAGTTATGACTGATACACTTAGCATGATTCCACTTAACCCTGGTATAAATAAAATATTCTTGGCTGTGGTTACATTTGTCCCATTGTCTGTATTGCATCTTAACAAGCAATCCCCTTCAGACTTGGCTTGCAAAAGTGTCCTACTTGCAGTTTTCACAACCTCATTGTGATCAATTGGACTCAAATTATTCAATAAATCTGAATTTCCTGCTATGTGTTTATTTGTTCTGGAATCCATGAGAATAACATCATTTGGTTTGTTCACAGTTGCTAGCAAACTGATATGATTCTTAACATTCTTGAAATCATTTGCTCTCTGTTCCTGCTTTCAATGGCTTGTAAATTGAGAAGAGATACCATTGGCTGAATTTGGTGATTTTTGGCTGGCCCTACAGTCTCTTTGAAAATGCCCTCTTCAATCACATGAAAAACAATGAAGATATCTCTTTCTTGTTAATGAGCCATTCAAATGTACATTTGCCTTGCCTTGAGTTCCAGCAGTGAAATATGATGCAGATTGCAAATCTAGTTGAGAGAAGTTGTTCTCTCCCTTTCTTTGTAAACTTTGAATCTGCACCATTTCTGACTTAAATCTACACAATGTATCATCAAACATCAAATTTCCTTGCATAGATTGCTATAAAGTTCCAATCCCAGAAATAATTGGACCAAATTATTGTGGCAAAGATCCCAATAGCACTGCTATTTTCTGTTGGTAATCTAGATTACCATCAACTAGATAAAGTTTATCTAGGAGCATTTGTATGGTTTGAATATGCTTCAAATAATTCCCACCACTGGGAAATTGTAATGCAAACAGATCTTTGTAGTAATCTGTTGGATGTTTAATGTCTGCTTTATCACAGTATTTCTTTGGGATTTTAATCATATTCTTAGCATCAATTTCATCTTTTACATGACTATGGGGGGTTGCAGAATGCCAGAAATAGTGCAAATTGAGTCCACTTTAAGGGTTAGGGTTAGTGCTAGGGAATCATGGGAATTGTTTTGTGTTTTTTTCTGAGACGTTGAGCCTTCTCTGTCAGAGAGCTCTGGTGCCACAATAAAATACAGTTCCCATGATTCCCTAACCCTAACCCTAAAAGTGGACTCAATTTGCACTATTTCTGGCAGTCTGCAACCCCCTATATTGATAATCTCCCAAAGTCTGGGCAATAAAAGACTTCTCCTTCACATGATTCTTTTCCCACATCTGTCTCTCTTTTTCTCCTTCTGGGTGTTCCATTTCCAGTATATATAGGATTCCTTCTTCATGCATCTGAAGTTTCATTCATTGAAGCCAAATATTAAAATTATCCTCAGTTAGTTTAGATATCAGAGACCGGCCATATACCACAAATGCTTGAGCCATTTCTGCTTACACAAAACAAAACCTCCTGTTTATAAAGCTCAGATAAAACAAAAATACACTAGCAACCTCACTTATGCCAAAAATCCAAAATATC